CGCCATGTTGTGAGGAGGTTTTTAGGCGCTGATGCGTGCCTGTGTTCGGTGCCCTGCAGCGCATGCTCTGGTCGAGCCTGCAGGGGCTTACAAGCCCTATCAGGCAAACCGAATCCAAGCCTTCTCATTGCCTTTTTGTGGGGAGGCCTTACTGATGTTAATTCGTGCCTGTCTTCGGTGACCTGCGGCGCATAAGCTGCTAGCCGCCGCAGGTGCTCATCGTGCTCATCGCCTCACTTAATCAGGCAGACCGAATCCAAGCTCTCACATTGCAGTGTTGTAGGGAGGCCTTTCTATTTCTCTATTTCTCTATCTCCGGGCATTCCTATTTCTCCCATTTTACTTCTATCTTCCAGCATTCCTATTTCTCTCACTTTGCTTCTAAACTTCTATTTCTCTTATCCCTGCAGCTTCCCGGCTCTGCGCCGCTTCAGCCAGCGCCTCTCTCATCTGCGCGGCTCCGCTTTCCACGCCCTTCGCGTCTGCACCACAGCCTACGCCAGCCCCGTTCCCTATCTACTCACGCCCCGTGCTCTCTCTGCACGCGGCGGCTTCCGCGAGTAACACAGCGTAGCTTACGTGTCCGCCACTAGCATTCAATCTAAGTTCCCCGGGCTAGCCTGGCGAATTCAACCCAGCATACGTCTCCGCCCCACGGTTTGGCTTCCTGTCCTTTGCTCCCCGGGCTAATCAGACGGATCCCAATCTGGCTTACGTTTCAGCTTCTGGTTTCAACTTTTCGCCCCCTATTCCCGGGCTAACTTGAGAACCCCAAAGTGGCTTTCGTGTCCGCCTTGGCCTGCCCCCCACGGCTTCAATTTCCCTAACATTTTTCTCTACCCGGTATGTTTCCCCAAACTTTCCTCCAACGATATTCCTCCCTCATTTCTCCTGGCCTCTCCCCACAGTCCGCGTCCGAGTCTGTTTGTTCTAGCTTTCACTTTCGCTTTCGACCTTAGAGATTTCTCCCAGCTTCCCCCCGTAGTCCGTATCTGAGTCTATGCCTAGGCTTTCAATAGCTTCTTCCGGCACCCTTTTCGTCCGGCTTTTCCCTAGGCTGTTTGCTAGTCTCTCTCTCCGGTAATTTCCCAGTTCTTCCCGTTTCTTCCCTCTTAAGTTTGCTATCCGACCTAGGTTTCCTATCCGAGTCACGGCACCATTATGTCGCTCCCCGTCTTCGTGGGGGAACGACACAGGACCCTGCGCTGTTCTTTCGTCTGCTCGGCCCTCCCCGGGTTTGCTGCTGGTTCTTCCCGGGTTGGCTACTATCCCTTCCACCTCCGTGGAAGGGCAGTTCCCCCTGGCCGCTTTCCCCACTTCCGCAGGGGAGCGGCACACCGCCGGCCGGCTCTTCTCGGGGGCTGCACGGGTGTTCCTTCAGCTAGATGTTCCCCTTAGATGTTCCTGGTGCATGCCGTCTCTCTCCTCCTTTATAGTCCTCCTCCGCCAATCCCAACTCGGCTGCCCACACGCCGAGTACGCTGCTCTCCTCCAATCAATAGCAAGTCCTACAGTTTATTAGTTGAACTGGAGGCAGCTGTGCGGAAGCTGTTTACTTCTCTCCCAGCGCCATATTGTGGGAGAGCAGATGCATAGAATAAGTCTTAATTCCAGCAACTCAGTCTAGTCCGGTTGCTCCCCACAAGTTATTCATGGTTATTTCAAAGTGAAAAAAAAGTTTATATGGTACATGGAAGTCATTGATTCAACTCAATGATCCTTTCAGATACAATTGGCCTTTTGTTTTTCATAGGTTGAAGTTGCATTATGCCTCTTATGAACCAACGATACGAGTGTTACATGAGAAGCACCACATTTTACTGAAGGAGAAAATGCTGACCTCTTTAGAAAGAGACAGAGCAGTTGGACAGGTAAAGAGACAACCATGGATACTTCAACATGATTTTTAAATCATTTTTCTAACACAAACAAATATTAGTTTTGTTGCTGAGATAGCATTTTAAGATATTTTCATGTTCAAAACATTTGGAAAAATTTAGAAAAAGATTTTATTTATTTTAAAAGCTATAAATATGACTATTAAGTATTTTTTAAAAACATAAATGTATAGGACATTACTAAAGTGTAGTTAGAATAAAAAAATTGTGGTCAAACTTGTATTGAATTGCTAGGCTTTACAACTACAAACACTGGCCTTTGACAATTTCTTAAACACTTAATGCTCAGATTAAAAACATAAATGTATAGGACATTACTAAAGTGTAGTTAGAATAAAATAATTGTGGTCAAACTTGTATTGAATTGCTAGGCTTTACAACTACAAACACTGGCCTTTGACAATTTCTTAAACACTTAATGCTCAGATTTCTCATATATGAAAAGTAGCCACAAAGGCCTACATTTGTGAAACATATGAGATAATGAATTAAAACACCCTGCAACCTTCCCCCAAATGAATGTTTTTACATATATTACTGGCTCAATTTTTTTACTTCTGTAATGGACGACACTGTTTTCCATTCTTGTGGTAGCAGAGGCCTAAACACTAGGGCAATAGTGAAGAAATTTGGCATAGAATTCAAGAAAGAGAAGGAAGGGGCCAGCTCTGTAGCACAGTGTAAAGCTACCACCTGCAATGCTGGCATCCCATATAGGCTGTGGTTCTGGTTCCAGCTGTTCCACTTCTAATCCAGCTCCTTGCTAATGCAGCTGGGAAAGCAGTGCAGGGTGGCCCAAGTTCTTCTGCTCCTGCACCCACACGGGAGACCTGGATGAAGCTCTTAGCTTCTGGCTTTGGCCTGGTCCAGCCCTGGTTGTGGTGGGCATTTTAAGGTGGGGGAGGGTGATGTGAACCAGGGGATGGAAGCTCTCTCTCTCTACCCCTCTCCCTCTGTCTCTCTGTAACTCTGATTTTCAAATAAATACATCTTAAAAAAAGAGAAAAAGTAGGTAAAATGTTTTTATGCCCCTCAAAATACATGATAGTATTTGATATATAGAGCTGTAACTATGCTTAACATTTATTGTTTCCTGAGTTTTTAATTTTTGGTTATCCTTTCAGAAGCTACAAAGTTTGTATGACAACAATACTCTTCCTTGAATAATTTTACTAAAACCTACTTTAATCAAGTTTATTTTGTCTTTTGAGTGGCATTCTTAGCTACTAAAATGGAAGCTATCACTTTTCTTCTTACCTCTTGTTCTTGAATTTTATTTTTTGTCCTTGAATTGTATTTTAAGTGATATTTAATACAATTGGTTTAATAATAGTTTAAAATTTTGTGGCATTATGTATAAAACCTTAAGAATTTCATTTTTCTAATTTACTCTTTTTCATTTAACCTATTTCCTCAGCCTTCTAATAAGAGGCATGGTTGTGGTTGGGAGCCAGATTCAGGTCTGCTCCTATTTCTTATTCGCTGCAAGCCCATCTTATACTTGTGCTGCTAAGCTACTTTCTTTAGTCCACCAGGTCTCCTGATATTATTTATTACACTTCTTCAAAAGGGAAACCTTTATTGACCCGACATTACAAAAGGGAATCCTTTAATAACCCTGACAATATGTACTTTGGAATCTGTAGCATGTCACTTAGGCTGATGTTACTAAGAAAAACCTTAGGCCACTTACAATCTTTGGATTGCTCAGTGAGGTTGCTCCTTACTTGTTTAGTGGAAAGAGAAATGGATTAGAAGTGGAGGATGTGAATCCCCATTGTGCTAGAAACTAGCCATGTATTAAACAAGGCTAAGTTGCTTGTGATTGAGATGTATCTTAAATGAAAATGTTTAAAAAGTTAAAATCATCTCCCTAGGAGTCAGGGTTGAATTTTATACATTACTGTTCAGATGTACAAAGAAAGGAGGCTAAAGAAATGTAAGGTAGTATTCTGGTCGGATCCTGAAACATGAAAAGGTTATTATAGAAAAAATAATGAAAATCAAAGAAAATATGGACTTGAACTTTAGTTTGTATTAATGTGTCAATATTGATCTATTACTGTAAAAAGTATTCCATCACAGTATGAAGTCAACAGAAGAAGCAGTGTGGGGTATTCAGGTGTAGGACACACATAAAGAAGTCTTAGAATTACACTAACAACTATTCTGTGAATATTAAGATACTCTAAATAAGAACTTTATTAAATTTTTAAAAAGATTTATTTTATTGACATGAAAGGCAGAATTAGAGAGGGAAAGAGATATGTCTTCCATCCATCACTCCTCAAATGGCTGCATCTGCTAGGGCTGGGTAAGGTCGAAGCCAGTAGCCTGGACTCCACTGCTTTCCTAGACTCATTAGCAAGGAGCTGGATCAGAAATGGAGCAGTTGGGACTGGAATCCATGTTCATATGGGATGCCATTATAGCAAGCAATGACTTAAGCCACTGTGCCATAACACCAGCCCTTAATTTAAAAAATTGTAATCCTGATCTCTAAGAATAGCTATGGATCTGTCATATTAGCACTGATTTATAGATTTCAATTTCTTATCTGTTGTATTCTGTTAATAAAGAAATATTGTCATTCAGTGGTAGTAGATGGTACTTTGTTTTGGTATGATAATATACAGTAAACTCTGAGTTAGCTTTTTAAAGTAGAATTTTAAATTTAATCCTGTTGTTCTGGAAATATGGGGAAATGGTGTGCCACAGATCTAACAAGTGTTCTGAATTATAAGGCTTGTTTAATGGAACAGGTTATATCTGTGGTAGCAACTGATAAGAGTTTTGAGAAGAAAAAGACTTTTCATAATTTATTTTTTTAAGTACTGACTTCATATTCTGTAGATATAAATATAAACGTAATAAGCTGTTGGGAAGTGATTTTAACAGAGAAAAAAAATCTCTCTCAAAGTAGAGGACTAAATAATTATCAAAGTGTATAATGAGTATTCTTTATTTAGGAAGCTATGTTGTGAAATAAATATTTCAGATACTTTTATAGGTACTGAAAAATTGCCTGTAGAATTGAATTTTAACTTGGAATTTTGTTATCCTTTTTGTTAACATTCATGTTTGATTTTTAAAATTTATCAGCATTAATCCAAGGGAAATTAATGTTTTGATATATTGCAAGAAACATTTAATAATTGCATTTTATCATTTTAAAACTGATTTAGAATATAACTCAATGTCTGAATTTTATTATTTAGGTTTCTGAACTTCAAGAAACATTGAAGAACATAGATATAGGACATAGTTATCATATTCCTGAAATTAAAGGTAAAAGTAAAGTTTCGTGGAACTATAACAATATTGATTTGGTGGTTTTTCAACTTTATAAATTACTAGCTTTCTAAAGATATTTAAAAACAAATTGGTGTGGTAACTAGTTCACAAATTAAAATGTTAATGAAAATTAATAGGAAATATTGATGTGATACTGTATTGATTAATTTTAGAGAAAAATGAGTCAACCATCTTGATAGGATTTCTATTTCTGGCTATGATGGAGTACCTGGTACCATACTAGGCTTCTCATCATAAATTATCCCAAAGCTAACCTATGTAAATGAAGCAACAATTTTTAGCCCTTGGAAAAGAGCACAAGTCAAAGAAGGCAGGTGACAGAGGAAAATTTATGAGGTGACTTCCACTGTCACCATGGCTTTGGTCTGAGGAAGTTTCCAAACAGAGAAATGGGTGCCATGAAGGACATGCTAATCAAGATGAGGTGAAAAGGCAGAGACTATAGAGTGAAAGCAGGTAGATTTCTGAGGAAAGATCAGCAGAGAACAGGGAGCTATAATGAAGAGCAGCCCAGTGTAGGATGGAGTTGACTGAATCCTTTTGCTGGTAGCTGTGCTGCCCAAGTGCTGATTGTGATTCCAAAAGACACAATCACAAAAGATTCAAATTCCAGATGTTGAAATCCTGAAAGACACAACTCACATACAAGGGGAAAAGGTTATATAGAGGCGGTTTATAGAGGCCAAATTCTGAAGAAGGAAATGACAAGATGAAAACTTGTTAAAAAATCAATCATTGGTCAGTGTTGGAAATTCCTTCCTGCCAGTGAAATTTCAAGAACTCGAATGAATTAAAGGTGCCTTTGTCTTCAGAAGCCAAGGAAAATTGCTGCTTCAAAAATAATTGTTTGCATGAAGGGAAAACAAGACAGAGTGGTGTTTGCTGTCCCCATATTGCTTGCAGTAATGTGTGGTCTGTGGATGAGTTTATGTGGTAATGGATTTGTGTGTAACCCAATCCACAAAGTATCATGGCCCAGAAGATGGGAAAACTTAATAGGGATTGCTTATGTCAATGTATGAAAATCATGGAAGAAACTCCAAAAGAGCAGCTCCACATAGAAAATGCATGTGAAAGTGTTCTCTTTTAGGAGAGCCATGCCATGAAAGAAAAAAAGTACCTGCTTATTGTTTTCAGAAATAAGTCAGACACAGGGACACAAATACCACATTTTTCTATCACATGTGGGAATTACATACACACATGCATACATGGCAAAAAATGTGGATGCTCTGAATTACAGTTATACCCATTACATAATGATATACCCTTCTTTCCTCATTTCATGATCTATATATTGCATTCCATGATATGTGATATTAATATATCCACCCCTGATTTCTTTGTGTGTGCATTTCCTTGATTTTTATTTAATTTGCAAGCTTTCCAAATCTTTGTTTTTGGATTTTTAAAAAATATACAGCAACAGGTTTGCTGTGTGATTCACTCTGAAAATCATTTTATCTTTTTTTAAAGACTTTATCTATTTGAGAGAATTAGAAGGGCAGAGAGATTTAGAGATTTAGAGATTTAGAGAGAAAGAGAGAATCTTCCATCTGCTGCTTCACTCCCCAGATATATGTGATGGCCAGGGGTAGCCAGGCCAAAACCAGGAACCTGGAGCTTCATCCAGGTCTCCCATGTGAGTGACAGGGGAGTAAATACTTGGGCCATCTTACCCTGCTTTTCCCAGACCATAAGCAGGGAGCTGTATGGGCAGTGGAGCAGCCAAAACACGAACTGATACCCATATACAATGCTGGCATTGCAGGCAATGGCTTCACCTGCAATGCTGCAATTCTGGCTCCCTCATTTTATCTTAAGAGAAAAAAAGATAGAGAGGAATGGGCATTGTAGAGCAGTGGCTTGATGCCCCTTGGTATACCCACATCCCATGTTGGAGTAACTGGTGTTGAGTCTCCCTACACTTTCTAATACAGCTTCCTACTAATACACTCCCGGGGAGCAGCAGTTAAAATCTTAAGCCCTTACATACCTGCCACCCATGTAGGTGAGACCTGGATGGAGTTCCTTGGTCCTGGCTTTGGCCTGACTCAACCTCAGCCATTGCAAGCATTTGAGGAGTGAAATAACAGGTGGAAGATCTCTGTTTCTCTCTCCCCACTCCCTCCCTCACTCCCATGTCCCTCTGCTTTTCCAGTGAAAATAAATTTGTCAGAACTTTCAAAAGTTTTCATCTTGTCAATACCTTACCCAGAATTTGACTGTTTACCCCTTCTATATAACCATTTCCCCTCATATGTGAATGTTGGCTTTCAGGATTTCAACATTTGTAATTGTGTTTTTTTGGAATCACAATCAGCACTTGGGTAGCCCAGCCACCAGCCAAGAATTTATAGTCAACTCCATTACAAACTGAACTACCTAAATTTACAGATAGTAAATTTCATCAGAAAGATGGAAAAAGCAACACGCAAATTAAAGTTCTAGAACTGAAAAATATAACAAAAAATATAGTAACTTTATTGAAGTATCTAATAATTTTATTGGATATACTTCATAACAAAGTGAAGACAGCAGAAATGTTTTGTGAATTTGAAAGAGATAAAAAGAAAAAAGTCATCTTGGCCTGGGCATTGTGGTGCTGTGTGTTAAGCTGCTGCCTGCAACACTGGCATACCATCTGGGCACTGGGTTCGAGTCTTGGCTGCTCCACCTCAGATCCAGCTCCCTGATATTGTGTCTAGGAAGGCAGCAGAAATGGCTCAAGTACTTGGGCCCCTGCCACCCATATGGGAGATACCGTTAGAATTCAGGCTTCTGGCTTTGGCATGGCCTAGCCAAGGCTGTTGTGGCCATTAGGGGCACCAACTAACTGATGGGAGATCGCTCTCTGTCTCTCCCTCTCTCTCTTTGCCTTTCAAAGCAATAATTAAATGTTAAAAAATTTAAAAAGTCATCTCTTCCAAAGAGACAAAAAGACTAATGGAAAATATATTTACCCAATTGACATATATAATTGAAGTCTGATATAGAGATGGAACATAAAAATATTTAAATAAATAATGGCCTAAAATTTCTCAAACTTGATGTAAAATACCAATTTTGCAGATCCTAGAAAGCAGCTAAACATAACACAAAGAAGGACACCCCAGAAAACAGTGTACCCAAAATTTTGAATATTTAAGCGAGAAAGTCTTGAGAACAGGATAACAGAAAAGACTTGTTTCATATTGGCAACTAATAATACAAAGTAAGGCTAAGTTATCATAAGAAATGATAGAGACTAGAAGCAATGAAATGATATCATTAAAGTATAGTGAGTTTTTAGTTCAGAACTGTGTATCTAGTAAAAGTATCCTTCCCAGACTAGAGTGAAATTGAGACATTTTATGGTAAATAAAAACTAATTATTTTGCATTCTGATTTGTTATACCAGAAATTATAAGGGATTTCCTTTTGGCCAAAGAGAAAGTATGCCAAGATTGATCACAGAGAATTAGAAATGTTAAAATAAAACAAAGCCTGAAATAATTTTGGGTATTTTGATCATAAACATGCTTGATGTTTGAGGAACTAAGAATGTTTACTATGATTAGATATTACACAATATATACAGGCATCAAAACATCACGTGGTACCTTATAAATATGTATAATTTTGATATTTCTGTAAATTTATTAAATTGCCTCTTTTCAAAAAACAAATTTTGATTAAAATAAAGATTAAATTTTCTTAATTTCCTTAAAATAGAATTGTCCAATTAAAATTATTAAGGAAAAATTTATAAGGCATATAAAAGTAAAAGTGAGAAAATAAAGTACATGTGGTGGAAATATTTCATATTTTGAATTTGTTGGTGATTGTGTAAAAGATTATATTTGCCAACGCTTACCAAACTATATGTATGTATTTTATTGCATAGAAATTATACTTCATTAAAGTTGGTCCTAGAGTTAGAAGTATCATTATGCTGTTTTTTTTTAAAGATTTATTTATTCATTTGAAAAGCAGAGATATTGAAAGAGAAGAAGAAAGGTCTTCCATCCACTTGTTCACTCCACTAATTGCTGTGCAATGGCTAGGACTGAGCCGGGCTGCAGCCAGGAGTTTCTTCTCCCACGTGGGTACCAGGGCTCAAGTACTCAGGCCATCCTTCTCTGCCTTCCCAGGGACATCAGCAGGCAGCTGGATCAGAAGTGGAGCAACTGGGACTTCAACCAGAGCCCACATGGGATGCCAGCACTGCAGGTGGAGGCTTAACCTTCTATGCCACAGTGCCAGCACCCATCATTATGCTCTTCAAACTGTATATATAGAGAGACCGGTGTTGAGGCCTAGCCGGTTGAGCTGCTTCATGTAACATTGGCATCCCATTTGAACCCTGGTTCAAATCCTGGGTTCTCCATTTCTGATCCAGCTCCTTGCTAATACATCTGGGAGGGCAGTGGAAGATATCCCAAGTGTTAGTAATCCTTGCCACGCACATGGGAGACCCAAATAAAGCTCTTGGCTTTGGCCTGGCCCAGTCTCAGCCATTGTGGCAATTTGGGGAAGTGAACCAGTAGATCTCTCTGTCTCTGTGACTCTGACTTTCAAATAGAATAAACACATCTTTAAAAAAACCCTGTATATATGAAATACATAAAATTTGTTAACTTTATTAAAATTTCAAAATAAAAAATCTTAAAAAAAGATGAGAAAAAAATTTTAAATATAGAAAGATTGCAAAGTGGTGAATTTCCTTAGTAATGATGATATTGTATCATTTCCAGATGACTATTCATTGTGTTCTCTGATAAAGGTTTAAAAGCATTCATGGGGCAAGTGTTGCCTCAGCAGGTTAAGCTTGAGATAATTACATCCCATAGAAGATTCTTGGTATTTCTGCCTCCACTACCCATTCAGGTCTCCTGCTAATGCACATGGGAGCAGTGCTAATAGCTCAAGTACTTGTGTCCCTGCCACCTACATGGGAGTCCTGGATGGAGTTTCAGGTTCCTGACATTGAC